AATGAAAGGAAACTTGTCTTGAAAGAATTATATAAGCTGCTATGACTGATATCCTAAAAATGCTGTCTGCCTACTGCAGCTATCTTTCTTACCCTTTGGCATTCATACCCGCCGAATGACTAGACCTGTTTTGAAGTCTCTAGGTGACAGAGATAACTAGCATTTTCAGCAGTAGCAGTTTCTGTAATTTTCTTATATAAGGCTTCAAATGAACTGCTAAGATAGCACTCTAGCCTTGTTCCACTTCAGATTTTCATAATCAATTCAGTCTTCCAGCAGCGGAATTTACTCATCATCATCAGACCTAACATGGACAACTTAAAGTAAAGTAAATGTCAACTACTTTTTGTTTTCTTTATTTCTTTATTTAACAAAGTGCTCCATAAGCTGTACATTGCTTTACAATTCGCATGGAGCCTGATAAGTACTACAACCCAGCAAAATATCGAGTGGAGCAGTTCAAGAGCACAATCTGCAATGATTTCACTGGACCTCAGGGAACAGAACAGTCATGTGTGAATAAAACCGGTGGAGCTATTTTCAGTTATTACAAAGGAGACTCAAAGCAGGGGAAATTGGGCAAAAGGGAAAGTGAACAGGGGCCCCACTCTCAGGTCCAGTTATGGAAATAAAATGAATAGCAACCCTCAATCAGTTTATGAGGTCACAGGTACTTATGGTATTCCTCAAAATTCAGATACTGATTCCAGTAGAACCACGTAAGGGAATGTTTCTTCATTTTATATCAGTCCCACAGTGAGGCTCTTCATTTCCTGAATGTCATTCACCTAGGCCAGTGGTGGAGAACCTTGGCACTCCAGCTGTGCCAAAACTACAAATCCCAACATGCATCTGCCTCTGGGAGTTATGTCTGTGGCTGTCAGAGTCTTGCAATGCCTCATGGGACTTGTAGTTCCAAAACAGCTGGAGTGCCGAGGTTCGCCACCACTGACCTAGGCAAACCATTGCCCTATGCTGGAGAGGAGGGTCATCAGTTTTCAGCAACTCAGGACATGTGCCTTGGGGCATTGAGTACATGAATCAATTGGGAGTTCTTGCATCTCTTTTTCAATGGGGTGCTAAGTTAAAGTTAAAGTTAAATCCCACTGCATTGTCAGTCAAGGAGAGCTCTGTAGGCTGCTTAACTTTGTACAGAACCACCCTCCAAAAAGGAGCTACCTCTTTTAAGGAAACCAACAAAGCCCCCCCCGAGGTGGTGGAAGAGTTCGAAAAGGTGCTCCAGCATCAGTGTGTCTTCCCCTAGAACTGCACTTCGTTTGATACTGCAAATGTATGCGCTGTCTGTGAGCTTGTACCACCATTGGCAGCTGGACAGTGGCAGTTTCCAACACTGGATGAAAGCCTAAGCTGTGCTAACAAGTTGAGAGTTAAAGTACCTTAGTTAGTTGGTAGCAGAGAGCTGGCACCAGTAGGGCCCCTTTCACGGGTGCGGTCAGTTCCGACCAGCAGGGGATCCATGCACAGCTCCCGCTGCTGGTTGGAGCCGTACAGAACCAATGTCACATTGTGACATCTGTGTTCGTTCTATTTTTTACTCCATTTTACGATGGAGGGAAAAACTGAGCCATATGGACACGTTAGGTCTGCGGGGAGTCAGATGTAAGCAGATAATTGTTCTTTTACATCATATTACCCCCTATCCATCAAGATCATGTCTGCCAAAATGCGACTATTTATTTTTGCTTCTGGACCTAGACAGAGTCAGGGGTAATCGGATGTAAATGGACGCACGTTCGTTTAGATCTAGCTGCCCATAGACTTACATTGGGCTTCTGATCAGATCAAATATTTTCAGTGAAAGGTACTGTTAATGTACCGCATACAAATACACGTTAAATGATTAACATTTGGTGTGGAGGAATTCAAGTGGCCTGCACAGAGCCCCGACTTCATTTCTATTCAAAACATTTCATTTTGATGAATGGGAACGCCGATTGCAAGGCAGGTTTTCTCAACCAACATCAGTACCAGGACCTTACAAGTGCTCTTTTGGCTGAATGGGCACTAATTCCCACAGAGACACTCCAAAATCTTGTGGAAAGCCTTCTCAAAAGTTCAAGGTTGTCATAGACCCAAAGGAGGGGGGGAGGACTCCATATTGACGCATACACTCACTGGCCACTTTATTAGGTACACCTGTTCAATTGCTTGGTAATACAAGTTGCTAATATACCAATCGCATGGCAGCAACTCAATGCATTTAGGCATCTAGACGTGGTGAAGATGACTTGCTGAAGTTCAAACCGAGCATCAGAAAGGGGATTTTAGTGACTCTGAATGTGGCATGGTTGTTGGTGCCAGATGGGCTGGTCCGAGTATTTAAAAAACGGCTGCTCTACTGGGATTTTCACACACAACCATCTCTAGGGTGTACAGAGAATGGTCAGAAAAAGAGAAAATATTCAGTTAGCGGCAGTTGTGTGGACGAAAATGCCTTGTTGATGTCAGAGGAGAATGGGTAGACTGGTTCGAGATCATAGAAAGGCAACAGTAATTCAAAAAAACACCACTCAGTAAAACAAAGGTATGCATCAAACCTTGAATCAGATGGGCTACAGCAGGCTACACCGGATGCCACTCCTGTCATCGAAGAACAGGAAACGGAGGCTACAATTCGCACAGGCTCACCAAAATTGGACAAATAGAAGATCGGAAAAATGTTGTCTGGTCTGACAAGTCTCGATTTCAGCTGCAACATTCAGATGGTAGGGTCACAATTTGGTGTAAACATGTGTCAATGGTTCAGGCTGGTGGTGTAATGGTATGCAAGTTATTTTCTTGGCACACTTTGGACCTGTGATGATATCATGTCAATATGGACCAAAATCTTTGAGGAATGTTTCCAACACCTGATTAAATCTATGCCATGAAGAATCAAGGCAGTTCTGAAGGCAAGGGGGGGTCCAACCCAGTACTAGCAAGGTGTACCTAATAAAGTGGCCGGTGATAATATGTGGTTTTGGATCAGGGATTTCAAGAAGCTCATATGGGGGGTTATGGTCAAGTGTCCACAAACATTTGGCCATATCATGTATATTATTAATACGAATATAGTTCCATGTTTTATGCTTCTTAAAAAAAAAAAAAAGCAAGAAATGGAAATATTGAAGATGAGAAAAAGGAACAAAATCAAAAGACAATCGTTCACAGTTTGGGCCAGACAGAAAAATGTTGACTCAAAGTGTCTTTCCACTTTTGCAGCCAAATTGAGATGACATGTATAAAATAGGTGCTACATATTCCAAAGCACATAATGTGTAAAAAGAAAAAAGTGTAGCTTACATGTTGTAGATGTTCTTTGTGCTAAATCCAGGACTAAAAGAATCCTGTTTAGTTCTCACTGTCTAGGGGAAGTTTTGTTTTAAATAACTAACGCTGTGTGTAGTGTGCTGGCAGATTTCACTATCAGTTGTAAACTAGATGAACAGGACTGTCGGTTAAAGCCCTGAAGACATTGTGGGGAATTTATCAAAACTGGGAGCAGATAGAATCTGGAGCAGTTGCCAATGGCAACCAATCAGCTTCCATCTTCAGTTTGTTCAGTCAAGATTTAAAAATGAAACGGAAGATTGGTTGCCAAGCACAGCTGCTCCATATTTTGTCTGCACCAGTTTTGATAAATTCCCCTCATTGTATGTTAATGAGGGGGAGCTGAGCTTGTCCTAAGACTTTCTATTAGGACAGTCAGAGTTTCCTGGTGCTGAAATTGAGAGAGAAGCTTACAAAGGCCTGCTAAATGGAGATATCTAAACAAACAAAAAAGTCAAAAATATCATTGTTTAATTTATTTTTAGATATGCTGTGTTAATAGATACACAGACATATAGAGGGGGGTTTTCTCAGTTTTGGAAATATACTTTAACGAAAGAAAATGTGAGAATATGAATGCAGCAGATGCCATTGCTGAAAGGTGAAGGCTGTAGAACTATTTTCTTGATCCTAGCTTCCCCAAGTGAGGGAAGCCATTCTAGACATAATGGCCATGCAGTTACCAAAGCTGCCACAAGAGGTAGCTAAACAATACAAATAAACATTATGTAAGACAACAGTCAATGCATGCAGTGGCACCTGCTGCATGCCATATAAGACGCTCAAACACTTGTAATAAACAGGGGCTACTGCATTTAAAGCAAAAGTAAAGCAAGAAGAAAAAAAAAAAAAAAAAAAAAAAAAAAAAAAAGGGC